AATTCCCCAGCCAACTACTGCTGGCTGGGGGATTCTGGGGGTGGGAGCCCACTCATCTTAAAGTTGCTGAGGTTGAGAAACACTGGTGCCTTCCAGATGGGACAAATGGTAAGAGCTCACATCAACTCCAGTCAGCATGGGTGACTGGCTGGCCTCTTCTGCCTGGAGGGTAAAGGTAGGGCAGTGGCTTTTAAAATTAGGCACCCAATTTGTGGGCAGTGAAATGGAAGGGACTGGAAGAAAGAGAAATTCTCCACCAATTTCTCAAGGGCAGAACCTCCTCTTAGCTGTGACACAAGGCTGAAAAAGCCCCATGGGAGGAATGGGAACTGAGGCAAGAACTGAACCAAAGTGTGGGAAGGCAAGGAGGGTGTAGATCGCTGGAGAGAAGATAGCAAGAGGAAGGACAGGTTACTGAGTCCCATATACCGTATGGTCACCAATAAAGGAAATGCAAAAATGCCACTCTCTCTTCTTGAGAATTTATCTAAAATTCTCTTCTCTGTTAAAAGTTTCTAAAGCACTTTCCCCCATTAAACTGAACAAGACATATGGTAGTCCTTCAGGTTCAAAGAAGACACACTGTTATGCAGTTATCTGTGGACACAGAGGTGGCTCTGCAGTCCCAGTCTGGAAGCGGAGTCTAGTATAATGGGTGCACTGGAAGTCCAGTGTTGTAGTAACTGTGGGTGTTACACTCTGGTGCCACTCACAATTTTCTATCAGTTTTTGGCAGCACCTGTCTTCAAAGCTGGTGGAGGCTTCATAGCACAGGGCTCACCAGCAGGTTCTGTCAGCAGCCGCAACTTCTATTTCCCTTGGCTGGATGACACAGTGGCGTAGGGTTTCTTTCACATTGTCTTTGTAGCGCTTGTGTGGTCAACTTCAAGGTCTCTTCCCAGACTCCAGTATACTATAGAGCAACTGATGAGGCATACGGTGGTCATCCATTCTGATGACATGTCCCACTCACTGCATCTGGGCTCTGATAATCAGGGACTCAATGCTAGTGAACTCTACGCAATCCAGGATCTCCAGGTTGTAGACATGGTCTTGCCAATGAAAGCCGAGGATGAAGTGGAGAACGGGCACGTGAACTTTCTCCAGTTGTTTGATGTGCCTTCAGTACAGAGTCCACGATTCACCTCCATATATGAAAGAAGGGATAACCATAGCTCTATAGACACCTTGTCTCTATCCAGCAAGGTGCAGATGTTCCAGGCTTCAAAAATGAGTTTTTTAAATTCATTTTTCTTGATGCTTGACTGCCAAGGAGATGATCTGCCAGCTGCAGTTATCTAGCCAGATGATGTTTAGAGTACCTTTTCTAACCCCCTCCATCATCCAAGAGTGGGCAGTGCTATCCTAGAAGGGCTGCCCAGTCACTCTGGATGCTGCCAGACATCTCTGCTGCCCCAGGTACTGAGATGAACGACCACTGGTGCAAGAGCTGCCCATGTGCAGGTTTGTGACTACAATTGCCAGTGGTCATCTCTGCCTCTTGCTTTGCCACTCCCTCATGGCCACAGGGCTCAACGAATTAAGTTTGGACTGAGATGAATTGCAGATGAGTTGTACATAAAGATGAATGCACAACAGAAACCTATGCATGATGGAGTTTTAAGTGGAGCAGCCATTGCACAGGGGCAGTCCCACTCTCTCAGCAGAACAGACCTTAATCCAGTGGCACAGAGAACTGTTACGGCTAGAGATCCCTCCTGCTGCAGTGGATGTCTAAGGACATCTTAGTGTCTTGTTGTGCTCTTAGCGCTCCACAACACCTGCTGGGCCTGCCTTCTTGACCACTGGACTGTTGATCAGTCTCCTCCACTCTATCTGCCAGGGCCAGAGTTCACACACTGGGATAGACAAATCCCTTATCTTACTGAGTGTTGAAGACCCATCAGCTACCCTCACCTGGTTTGGCTTGTCTGCTGAGTCGGGGTGTGGCCGCATGTATTACAGCTACTTGGAGCCACAGGTGAGAGCTGAGCACCAGGTGGGGGCCAAAGGTGAATAAGCAGCCCTAGAAAGGGCATGGCAGGCCCTTCACCAGAGGTGCTACCCCTTCCTGGACACTCCATACTCCCCAAACTGAACAAGAACTGATAGAAAAATATGCAAGAAACTCTCACTCCAGCACTACCCCAGGATTTCAAACAGATGTCTCCGACAGACCTATGTGGAGATTTCTGAGGTAGAATCTAAGATTTTCTGCACAAAAAGGCACTCCTGAACAGTCCTCTTTAGTTACTACAATCTATTGTCCTCAAAATTGTACAGTTTGTAAACAGAGAGACCACATGTCTTCTCAAATTGTCTGCCAAACAAAACCTTCAGTTTTTAATTGAAGGAGAAAAATAGATAGGCAGGATAGTCAGAGCACCCTCATCCAGTCTTTCCTAGGCCACCTTAGAAAAGCAATAAAAGTGCCAGTTCAGCCATAAAACACTTAGAAATCAAAAGAATGTCAATAATACCGTGGAAGGTTGCTTGAAAGTGGGAAAAGCTATTTGAAGCAGGGCAAGGGGATAATACTTAAGGAGAAACAACACACTAAAGTTACTGTTTACTTAAATGTTATTCTAAAACATACAGCCTCTGTTTTTGCAAAAAAACCATTGTCTTTCTAATTCTACCTTCATTACCTCACTATTCCTGACTTCACAGATCACAAGCATACCATGATTTGCATAAACTTATATAAGGGGGTTACATCCCCACCCTTTTAAAGGTTTACTATTGCAGCCTCTAGTAGTGAAATAAATGCAATTTGTATTTCAAAAGAATGGGTGTAGCTGGTCTCCCTTACTAACTCTAGTGAGGAATGTTTTCCTAACCAGTATCCTACTAGTGGTAAGAAATACACACGCCAAAGTACATTTCTGGAATGGGGTGAGTTTTCTGCATTCGTAATGGGTGTAGCTGTGAGGGGAGCTACTTGTAAAGGACGCTTCCTTCTCTAGGTCTCCGAACTGCTGAGATTAGACAGAGAGTGACCAGTGAAAGAATCTTATCTTTGGTAGCACCTAAATTAGTAGCATGTTCATTAACAAATAATCCTCTACCCCAAATTTAGGCACTCTGAAGTCCATATTGTTCTCTCTTCCTTTAATTTTATGAGGCTTCTGGTGGTGCTTACACAGTAAGGATATGATTTTTCCACTTTGGACACCTCATAATGTTCAGTGAGGCATACCTTTGTTTGTTTTCAATGTACTTGCATAATTGGGAATGGAAATAATTCCCATTGGATTTGGTGAATATAATTCTTCTACACATGCATAAAATTTAAGTTTCAAATTTCTACTTAGCTTGCTGGTCCGCTGCTTTTGTCTCTGGAGGTATTCTTATTATATGATGATGCTTTATACTGATAAGTTGAGACTTCTTGCAACAAAAGATAGAACATCAAATCTACAAATAAATAAAGAGCATTATTTCACCACCACCACCACCACCACCTCCGAGTCCTGCTGTGTTGCCTCATTGTGGATGTTCCTGGGTGAGATGATTGCCTTTAATCATGTATTTATGGTTTTAATTTGATGTAAACTGCCCAGAGTCCCCCATTGTGGGGAGATGGGCGGGGACAAGTCTACTAAATAAATAAATAAAATAAAATAAAATAAAAGCCAAGAGTATGTATTCCCAGCAGGGTCACCCAAGGCATGGAGGTCATCGCAGCTGCTCAGCTAAAGCAAGCAGGCACTTACATTGGGTAGCAGTGATATAGGAAGATGCTGGAGATGGATGATCGTGTTAGTGACAATGGCAAATGCATCAATTCATACTGCACAAGAGAAAGCCATGGTAAACTACTCCTGTATTTTTACCAGGAAAACCACATGGATGGAAAACATAAAATGATGATATAGTGCCAGATGATGGGCCCCGCAGGTCAGACAGCACTCAACATGCTACTGAGGATCTTTTACAATACTAATGGTGTCTATGACATGGCTTGATTAAGGCCCTCAAGCCCTCTGGTTGTTGATGTTGCCATACAAGAAAAGAAAATCCAAAACTGGAAAGAAAGAATTACAGTGATAAGATGGAACATAAGAAACATGAACATGGTAATGCATAACACAGTGAAATATAAAATGAAACAGCTACAGACTGACATCTTAGGCATAAACTAATTTAGATGGATTGGAATTGGATGCTTTTGGTCAGACGATTGCACTGCTTATTACTCTGGGCATGAAAAACAAAGAAGGAAGGATGCTGCTTTTATTGTTAGGGAGGCTTTAGCAAGAACAGTACTTGGCTGCAGTGCAATCAGTGACTGAATAATATCAGTTAGACTATGTGGACAACTTTTCAATATGACAATTATCCAGGTTTATCTTCCAACCACTGATGCAGAATAAGAGGAGGTTGATGAGTTTTATGATCAAGTTCAGTCTGAATTCAACTGAACATGCAAGCAAGTTATGCTGCTTGTGGCTGGAGACTGGGATGCCAAAGTTGGAAATATAAAGGAGGAAAATGTAGTTGGATTGTATGACTTAGGAAACTGAAATGAAGCAGGAAAATGACTTACCAATTTCTGCAACTCCAA